AATGAAGTTTGCATAATCTGGCATTTTCAGATTGCCATGTTCTGCAGTTTTTATGTAGGCATCAAAAACTATGCAGATAATGGACAACAAGAAACTGCAAACCCACCATGCTCTTAGAATCCAGGGAAATCTAATGTGCTTTTCTTTGGGAATCTTGCATACTACAATCAATGTTACTGCCCATGACGTCACTGCCATGATCTCTGATGAGTAAGCTTGAAATGTGGAGTTGCAATGACTGTCAGTAATACTATTTAGCAGCATCAGGAGCTTTAGGAAATGAATGCTCAGCATTAAAATGGAGCACACCACACTAGCTCTGTAAGAAAAGCTAAGTTTTGCACCAGAGGGGTAATTTTTCGCCGCTTGATCTGCAACCATCCGTCTGTGTTTGCACACATTTTTTTGAACAAAATGGAACAATGTGATTCCAAGGAAGCCAAGTTGCATAATTATGTTGACCTCTTCCCAGAAACACGGTGATTTTAGCTGCATCCATGTCACTAGGAACTGAAGAAACTTCAAGTCTGTCATGCATTAATAGAAAATAGAATAAGATTTTTTTTTTTTTTTTTTGAGTCAAGAAGGCAAAACAAAAATTGGCTTTTGGCATAAAATATGAAGCAAACCAAGTCCAACAAGACAGAGCTATTATCCGCTAGGTATATCAGTAATCCTACGAAAAAATTAAAGAAATTTAGGAACTGAGGTCACGAACGTCAAGGAACAGCCGTGTGCAGCAGTGTAAGTGTCGGACTCTTTGTTCTAATCTCAATAAAAATTTTTAAAAAAAAAGCACGAACACCATGGTGCAAGAAGTAACGGCTTCAATCTCACATAATGATATTATATATATATATAGAGAGATTTAATTTCAAATTTATAAGGCGTCTTTTATGGGATAAAACGGTGAGACCTTCGGATCAAAACGAATAATACCTCGCATGTTATCAACGGTCGTGAGAGTTACTAAGTGCTACACTGTATCTGATGTGATCAAAACGTATGGATAAAAAATGATATATATGTAAAGATCTAATCCCAAACTTGTGAGGTCTATTTTGTAGAATAAAATCGTGAGACTTTTGGGTCAAGCGGACAATACTTAGCAAGTTGGTGTGTTGATAGTGACATCAAGCTTTCGTGAGATCTTCGGGTCAAAGCGAACAATACCTATCAGGTTGGTGTGTTGATAGGGACGTCAAGCTTTAAGGTTATAACACCCTCAATCCCACATTGAAAGAATGTGTGGATAATGAATGATATATATGTAAAGATCTAATCTCAAACTTGTGAGGTCCTTTTTGTGGAACAAAACCGTGAGATTTTCGGATTAAAGCAGATAATACTTAGCAGGTTGAGTGCAGGACTCTACAAAACTAATTATGGTGTCGATGATCCCACTTCTCAGATATGTAAAAACGTAACTATCATAAAATCGTTCTTTAAACATGAACCATTTTCTCATTTATATAGAGAAACGCAAAATAATCATATGTTTAATCTTATTTTCATACATAAAAAATAATGAAATAAAATATTCGTTCATTTAGAAACATATATATATACATAGATTCGAAACTAAGTAAAGTATGTGAGATTCTATTTATTAAGTAGTGATTTGCTCATTCCCCTTTTACTTTTTTTTTCAGATGATTGAAATGATAAATTTGCTTAGTCTTGAGAGAAGCTAAAGGATCAAATTGAAAAGATTACTTGAGCATGAGAGGTATTGTTAGCTAGTGAGATTTTATGAAATGATTTTGTATTTTATATGGTTTGTATTTAGATATATAGAGATATATCATTAATTGGATTAAAGATATAGATTTTACTTAACAGACTATATCAATTTATTGAATAATTTTAGAATGATTAAGAAAGAAAGCTTCATATTACTTTGAGGTTTACTTCAAGGTAATATAATCGTATTACATCTTAGTCTCGGGACGTGACACAGTATCCGGATCTAGTTCATATGCTTGGTTCGATTCAACCATCATAACTACGGACAACTAAGTTTGAGTAAGTAAGGCCAATGATTAATGGATGCAAATCAAGACAAAATTTTGATCTTCCATTGGACTGTATGTGCATGCATGTATGTCTTGTGCTGCTGCACCTACTTGCTATTATCCAAGGAGAAGGAGAGGTGAAGGAACTGAGATTAAACAGACTTACTTGTTGCAGTGAATGAAGTGAACACGCCTTGCAAAACCATGGTTAGCGTCCCTTCAGCTTTGTTTATGAGAAATGAATTCTATAGTCTGAGAGCGGCACATATAGTGGAAAGAGCAGATGGTTAAATTAAAGATTCGTGTAGCACAAGAATAAACCTGCAAAGTCAACAACAGGATAATTACAAATGTGTGTGTTTTTTCCTGTAATGAAGGTGGGATATGACGTTATAGTTTGGTGATGATGGTTCTTTGACTGGTTTGGTGAGCTGGTGCTGCTGTTTTCTAGTGATTTTATACAGTAGAAAGCAAGTAAGAGAAGCATCTAGGAAACTCAGTGATGGAGATTGGGGTGCTCTCTAACAAAGAAGTTTAAATGCGGGGAGAGGGCACTTCAACTTTAAAATCCAACCAAGGCCTCCACAACAGATTGCTGGGATGAGATTGGAATTACATCAATTCTAGACTGACCTTTTTGATGGAGACTTGAGAATTCCTTGGAAATCACTCGCTTGTCAATCTTAATCATACTTTGATGGTTCAGTTAACTATGTTAGAACGTTGATCATAGTGTGGGCGAACACCTCAACTACGTTAATTGTTAATTAACGTTAGATAAGTCAATTGATTACATTTAAGAGTGAAGAAAAAATTAAAAAAAAATAAAAATTTGATTTATATTTGTAGTATATGATTCAATTCAAATTAATGTTTTTATTTGATTCAAATTAATTTCAAATATTAAATATTATTATTAAATTCAGATTAAATTTTGAATTGAAAAATAAAAATATCAAAATTAAACTGAATTATATATTTTTATTAATTTTTATATTTTTTAAAATTTTATAAAATAAAATAACTATTTTATATTTAATTTATTTGAATATATTAAAATTTTTTATCCAAGAATATATTAAAAATATATTTAAATAGTATCAAAATTTTAAAATTAAATTGAAAAAATCAATGAACCAAGCCTATAAAATTCAATTTGGATTGCATTAATTTCAATAAAAAATCAATTTAGATTAGATTTAAAAATTTTATAATATTATATATCATTTCAAAAAAATCGAATCAAATTCAATTTGTTTCGAATCATTATCAAGCTTATCACATTAGCACAAACTCAATAGAAAAGATTAGAATAGACCACAAATAACTTATTCAAAATCTTTTACTCTCTTATTATTTCCTCTTTTTGTTTTTGTTTTTTTTTTTCTTTTTTATTTCCTACATTTTGTTAACTTATTCGAAATGTGTCCCAAAATTTTACTAACAACACTCCCTTACCAGCTTTCAAATCAATCACGGAACCAACTTCCCAACAAGCATCTAGTCACCAAATAAGAAAACACCATCACCAATATTCTTCTATGGAATTAATTTATGTTTTATATTTAGCCATATACATGCATGAAACAAAATTTCCAAATTTGCTACCAACCCTAGCTTTAGCAGCATTAGTATTTTCTAATATTTTCTTGTCTATAAGTTCGTACTAAACGATATTATGTCATTGCTCAGTTTCCAGATGGTTGAATCTAGCTTATCAGTCACTTGTCAGAAAATAGTCCGAATCATGACCTAATGCTATCATTCAACAACGTTAGGTGGCTCCTAAGTTTCTATCAGTTTATTTTGACTTAAATTAGTCTGCCCAAATTGTCCTCTAGTGCACCAAGTAAGTTTCTGAATCATTTCACCTTCAAATATATTATTTCTTTCTACATGTGCATGTAGCACTATATAATATGTCAATGTCTTTAAATATTTGAAATGAAATTTTATTTTTTAATAATATAAATATATATATTTCAATGTAAAATATAGTGTGTAAAGCAATAATTAACTTTTAGTTATTAAATTTGTTCATTTATAAACTTTCCAGCATTCAAGCTATCAGAATTCATTTCATTTTCAATCAAATTTGCACAAGTTAACAAAGATGAAGAGCTTAATTAAGTAAGCTTTCTTTTTACTTTTTATCTTGAAGTTTAATTGCCATTCAATCTATCTGACAATTTGTGGCATTTCCAATCCTTTACTTTTGCTGTTTTAAGCAAGCTATTTTACAGTTTTAAAAAAATACATTTAAGTTCAATCATCTTTCACAAATTAAAATCATGTGATCGATTCTTGATTCATAACTAAACGTCTTTTGATCCAATCTCAACCAGGTAATTCGCTTGGATGAAGATCATCAAAACCACTTCAAAACTTTGTTAACTTAAGTGCAAAACTGACACACTCTTGATCTAATATGTTTGAAAATAGTTTCAGCACATTCTTATTAAGGAAAAAAAATAAATTAAAAAAAAAAAAAACTATCTCCGTTAGTTGTCTCTAAAAATGGACCTTCTTTTTTGGGTCAATTCTTAGGATGGACTTAAAAACATGAATGTTAATATATGTTGTTTTGTTCTATTCTTGATTACCTTGTATTTTAGTGAAAATTTTGGATGAAGGACTAGAATTTTTCAATCCACAATCCATGCGTTCCTCTCACATCTCTAATTCTCTAACCATCCCTCAATAAACTCCTGGAAACCATACAATGACAACAAAAATAAACAAGCATAAGAACAAAAACATCTGGGAAAAGAAATTTTCGAAAATTACAGATGAAGCAGTGACAATGTCTCCAAAAGAACTAATTACTATCCAGTAGCCAGATCGTATAACCGGCTGTCCTGTCGATTGCATAGTGCATCCAGAAAGATCTGACCATCCTTTTGCCACTATCAACAATTATTGTGGAATTTCTTTATGTAGTCTAGTATTATTGTACTTTGCCATACCTCAAGTGTCATGGAATTTTCATTGAAACCAGCAACCATTGCTTAGGGGTGCTTCGCATACTTGTTTCTGTTGCAAAATCTGTTTCTTGACCGCTTCAGATCCTTTCTCCAATAAAGCAGGTACCTCAAGAATCTATAAACTGATAGAATGCGTTAGCATAGGTCGAAACCGGAAAGAAATAAAGTTTCCAGCATGGACCGGAAATTATTCTCAGCAAAGATCGTCATATAGAACAGTTTTTAATCAAATAATAAGAGATAACCGCAGCCTAATAAAACATTAGAATATTGTTATGAGAGTTAAATAGTTGAGAGATGCCTGCATTTCTTATAAGTTTACCTTTAAAATGAGATCTTTAAAACATTGATGCACATTTTCTCTAGTTTGAGCGCTGCATTCAAGAAAAGAACTTTTATGTTCCTGTGCAAGAGCCATACCCTCTTCTCTACTAACTGTCCTGAAAATGGCACATTGCTCGTTCATAAGAAATCAGATACCGCACAAAGCACACAAAATTAAGTTTACAAAGTCATGTTGTATGCAGGCATCAATTTTAAACATTCAGATGATTGATTAAGCACATTCATCACGGGTGTTGAAGTCTATATTCAGTGACACGTACTCTGGGGCAGAAAAAAGACTAATAATTTTGAAGGACTTACCCTGTCAACTTTATTTCCAACCAAAATTTTGATGCATTCATGATTGGTGGAGTAGAGCTCCACTTCGTTTGCCCAAATTTCGTACAGGTTGGTGAAGGTTTCTCGCCAACAATGAAATTAGTATTCAAGTCCCCATAATTTAGCTGCATAAGCAGAAATAACATCATAATAGTCTCCACAACTATTAGCAATACTTCTTAAACAAGAAAGTATTGAACTGTTTTGATCATAAGATGATTAAAGTACTAAGAAATACACAGAATATATGCAGCCAAAAAAGAGGAAATGAACCCAGAATGCCACAATGTATAGTTGACTATGAACAGAGACTTTCTCCCCAATATATAGTATTGGTTGTATTTTGTATAAAAGATAAGAAAACACAATTATCTTAAAAAAAAAAAGATTTCTACAGAAAATAATAATAAGGCTATTACCATAATTCTTCATCTACTTCTATATGTATTAAGCAGATGTTTAATCTTACGCAAACCGCTTTGAAATTTTATAAGAAAAATATAATGAAAATACAAATATTTCATCAGACTAATTAAGAAATATTTAGATATTCCACACATTTTGTATGGTAAAGTGGGGTCTGCATCTAACTCCAGGGAACAAAATAACTATTCCACAATGTAAAACAAAATTTTTGTATGCACTACAACAAGAATTACATACTCCAGGGCACATGCGCATACATCCTTGTATGCAAAAGAACAAAACATTTAATCATGCCTTCGATGTCACCAGGCAGAGAAAAAATGTTTAAGAAAAAGTTCATTTGTCCCTAAAATGCTCGAGATATGAGAATGAAGCTGCTTGCAATTGTATCTTTTTTATTAGTACCCAAGCATTTGCATTATATACAACTGCACATAAATTGTTATAATAGATCAACAACAATGAACTGTCCCACCCAAAAAAAGTGATATAATACCACACGAGAAAATTAACAGTGCCTGTGATTTTAGTACATCAGTAAACAAGCCTTAGGTGCTCTTTGCTGCAACGGTTTGCAAATATGTCATAACAGCTGGTTCCATTCTAGCACTGAACATCATTTTGAATTAAAAATATCTTCCACTTTATTATTAATGAAAAATAATGCATTTATATCAATATATAAGCAGGTATACTTCCTGTAAATATGATACACCACAGGTCGTGGTTGAGGTTTCTCACTAACCTATCTGCAACCCTTTCAGAAATAATTCCTGTAATATTCTTTCAATAACACCATGCAAGCAGCATCTCAGTAAATATTAGCATTTACAGCTTCAATGAGAAATATAAGAGAAACTCATTATTAGAAGGTACCCAGCTGTATAATATGCTACTGAGACTTCGAGCTATATGTTTCTAGTTATACAAATCCAGCTTTTCCGCTTTATCTTATGAAGAGCACGCATTCCAGTAACAGTTTGGCCAACATTTACTTTTTCTGTAACCTTAAAACCTGCTTCCTTCTGTTCCATCAACCTAGCAGCATATCGAACACAGAGCATACCATCTCCTCACATAAGCACTCATCAATTATTCACTCCCCTGGACACAAGATCAGTCCTATATCCTTCAGCAGTAGAAGCATCAGAATTATAGGCTTACCAATTATTTCATCCTTGCTTCAGTATTTAAAATTTTTTGTTTTCTGATCATCAGTATATTAATCCTATCTGTTCAACTGTTTTCTGATCATCAGTATATTAATCCTATCTGTTCAACTGTTTTCTGAAATCGACCTAGATGTCCCTATTCTTGCAATTTAATAGATAAGCTTCTTTTCTCCCTAGGACATGTCAGCACAAGCAAACCTGCGCATCACACCTCAGATGCAGTCGTTATATTCCTACTACATCATTCAAAAGTATATAGCATCAAAAGTTTAGCCTTGATAATCATTGCTCAATTACTGGGAAATATTTCAAACCCTTTTACTAGCAATTACATGATTTTATAATTGGCCCATCAGGCATTCAACTAAAACCAGATTCTAAACGTCAATAAGCATATCAGATTCCAAAGTGAATTTTTCTGCATTCCAGAAGCTCTTCGAATCATTTATTGCTAAATTTCTGAGAATTTACATATATTGCTAATTCTTTTTCTCATAATCATTTTGATTCAAGATCAAAGTGACACATCCTTGAGATAATCAAAATATCATCGAACATCCTTCAAATTCCCGGTTGCTTCTAACAAGGATGAAAATCATTCTGACCCTTTTTCTCAATGAAGACTCCAACTTAACCATCGAGTTCAATGTCATTAATTTGCATTTTCTCTTTCTTTCTAAAGTCTGAAATAGTATGCTGGCTTTCTTTGACTTGATTATAACTTTCTCTGTAATTTTACTTCATATAGAATCATTACACATAATGAGTTTTTAAGTACATACTCTGTTTGCATGATAAGAGAACTAGAATCGTAACTTTTTTATACTGACTAAGATTTTATAATAAAAATTGACTAAAATGTTAAGCATATTTTATAATTGCTTGAATCCTTAATAATTTTTTAAATGATCAGATAATTGAGATTTCTAAATTTTCTATACTGATTAAGATTTCATAGTAAAAACACTTAACTGAAATGTTAAGCAAATACACATCATATGATTGATTGAAACTAAAAGCATATCTGATCAGTTACTTCTCAGTTAAAGTAACTGATGTTGTTTAATTGTACTTATGAATTTTTTTTCTTCAATATGTCTAAAATTTTGATGCTGTCAACTCTGATTCTTTGTTGTTTTTGTTGCAAGAAGATCTTACAGTATATATTCTTATTTGAATCAATTATTTTCTAGAACATAGCTGCAAAAATAGTATAAAAAATTCAATAAATAAAAACAAATCCATTGACTTCCAACTTATTTCACTTCTATAATTCTTCTGCTGTCTTAAAATAAATTTACTCATACTCACTTTCCCCTGTCACCAGGACAAACAAAAGGAAACAATGAAATGATGACATCAAGACACTAAACAGTCATAGAACCACAGCAACGCGCGATTTCACGCTAGTTGCCTATAATTGACACTCCTTGCATCTTATGCAAGTAATTCCTTTTGACACGTTTTGACTTTGGTTCTCGACTTGTAGCCAGTGCCGATCCACATTTTACACTGTGATCGACCTTTGTTTCTCATATTTTGAGAAATTTTAAGACTTTTTTCTCGATTGCATTAATTGAGTTCAATCTCCTTGGAAAGATTTAAAAGAAGCCGCGTTAATTCAGTTCCTTCCACAAGTTTATATTACATCAAGAAAATTTCCTCAAGCATAATACAAAATTGATGTCCATCCACTATACTGCAACTCTATTTTGCATGGACTGCGGACATATTGTCAAACACAAGACTTTTTCTTTTTTACATCTAATACATAAATTTTGCCCATATATGAACATATTTTGGGATACCATAGTTCATGAGCTTATGGTTTTTTTAATTTTTAAATTTTTGTATTTTGTAATTTTTAATTTTTAAATAGATAAATAATGTCAATAGATAAATTTTTAAAAATAAGATCCACTTTATATCTATTTTTTTATTTTTGCTTTTCTTTTTTATTTTTTTAAATATTTTTTACAAAAATTTAAATTTTTTTTATGAGATCTACTTAATACCATGGTATGCCACATATATGTCTTTTTCTATCTTTTTCATTTTTCTATTATTTTCTTTTTCTATATTTAATAAATTTTTTTAAGATTTAATTTTTTTTTGGCTTACTTAACACCATAGGTATATCACATGTAAAGTCATTTGCTTCATTTTTTCAATTTTTCTTTCCTTTCTCTATTTATCTATTTACTTTTTCTTTCCTTTTTCCATTTTTAATATTTAATAAATATTTTTATTATTCTTTAATAGTTTTCAATATTTAAAATTTTTAAGTGAGTCTCATTTGATAGTATCGATTAAATATATTTTTGTTTTTTCCTTTTTGCAATAATTTTTTTAAAAAAATATTACATATGTGCCATGGTCAAATTAGAATTTGATTTTTTTTTATCTTTTTTTTTTTATTTTTTTGCCTTTTTGTTTTTTAAATCTGTGATATAAATATACATTTGATTATTCATTTAATTATATATTTATGTAAGCATTACATAAATAAAATTATTATTTAATATCATAATTTAATAAATTCACATGCTATTCCCATGTAATAAATACACATGCTATTCTCATTTGGCTTACTTTTTGTTTCTTTTTTGTTTCATCATTTCTTTGATTATATTTTAAATAGTGCATACGTAAGGAAATTTTATGGGGTGCCACGTGGCACTTCAATACATTTCCTTTTTTTTTCTTTTTTTCCTATTTTATTTATTTTTTCTTTGTTTTTAATATTCAATCAATTTTTTTATATTTTAAAGATTTTTATATGTGGAATATATTTGATATTATTGATTAAAAATATTTTTTTATTTTTTTATTTTTTTTCCTTTTATGTGTTAGGTTGTATTCAATGAGTTTTCATTTCTTTGATCCAATAGGTGTGTCTTTTAATTTAGGAGGTTTTTTCTGAAAATTGCGGTTAGATCCGATGCAAGTTTAGTGTGTTGTGTTCTGTCCCGACATATATAAATACGTATTTTATTATTTATTTAATTTATATATATATTATATTAATAAATTATTATTTAGTACCTTAATTTAATAAATTCACGTTACATCCACATTTAATTTTCTTTTCTTTTTTTTTTCCATTCCTTTTTTTAAGTTTTTTATTTTTTTAAATGGATAAATTTATAAGGAAAAAAAGATAATAAATATAGAGATCACAAAATAACTCATATCCCATGAATTTTTATTTTCTCCAGATTTAGTACATGTGAATTTTTTAAAAAATTCAAGGTAAGGTTGAGGTTTTCCATTTTTAAAGTTGTGGTTGGGTTAAAGGCAGGTTTAAGGTATTTTCTCTACCTTAAATATACATAGATATATATATATATAATTGTGTTTTATTTAATTTTATATTTACATATGTACTATATTAATAAAAGTTTTATTTATTATTTTAATTTAATAAAAATATTATATTTATACATAATTAAGTTGTAATCTATTCTCCAATCCATTATATAATTTTTACACATTTTAACTTTTGTTTGATTCACATTCAACGTGTTGACGTAACACCTTGGGTTTTTCTCTTCTTTTTTGCTTTTTTTTTACTTTGTTCAACCTTTCAACTTTTTTTTAAAGTTTTTTAGTTTTAATTTTTAATTTAAATAAATTTTGTGGAAAAAGAAATCTGAGTTTGTTCATGTAACATCCTAATTTGGTTTTTTCTTCTTTCACTATTTTTTATTTTTTAATTTCATAAATTTTGTAACAAAAAAAAAAAAAAACAGATGGATAAGGATGGTGAAATAATTCATACCCAACGAATTTCGATTCGACCTAATTTAATCTTATAGCAAGGCAATTTTTTTCCTCTTTTGCTTTTTCATTTATTTTTTATTAAATAAACTTTGTAAGAAAATAATGTCAATAAAGGTGTTTACATAGCACCCCATTTGTTTATTTCCTTTGGTATTTGTTTGTTTTGTTTTTTTGTGTTTTTCAATTTGATAAATTTTACAATAAAATGAATCAATTGATAGGGATGACAATACAATCAATATCCAATAAATTTTGATCTATCTTGATTTGATATGGATGATTTTGTAAAAAAATTGGTATCGAGTCAAATTGGGTCGATTTTTATATAAGAAAGCAAGGACAAGTCAAAATGGATTTAAAGTACTCCACCTCAAGTCACTCATGGTATATATAAAAGTAAATATTTTGTTATCTATTTAATTATATATATGTATGTATTATATTAATAAAATTATTATTTTATACCTTAATTTAAAATATTCACATCTTAAACCTAATTTGAACGTCCACATAATACCCTGATAATCTTTCTTTTCCCTTTTTTTTTCTTTATTTATTTTTTATTTATTTTATTTTTAATTTAATGAAGTTAGTATTTAAAATCTTAATTTAATAGATAAATATTTTAAGCTTAATTGGAATATCATGTTGTACCCCAATGAGCTCCAATTTTCCTTTTTTTTATGCTTTTTCAAATTAAATTAATTTCGTGAAAAAAAAGGCCAATGAAAATGTCACATGGCACGCCCATTTGACTTTTTTCTTTTGCATTTTTTTATTTTTTTAATTAGATAAATTTTGTAACAAAATGTGTCAATGGATAGAAATATCAAAACAATTTGTATTCAACATGTTTCAATCCATCCCGATGCAATAGGGAGCAATTTTTTAAATAGAGATCGAGTTAAGATGATTAGAATTTTTTAAGAGAAACAAGATCAGGGCTAAAGCATGCTTATGGTACTTTGCCCCATCCTATTTCAAGGTATCCATAAAGTATATGCTTTAATATATATTAAATTAATAAAGTTATTATTTGATTCCTCAATTTTTTTAAAAATTAATATTTTAAGCTCTTTATGAGTTTTTTTTTTTTGTTTTTTTCTCTT